TAGTAGGAACTAAATAAAACGTTGTACATATAATAGTTTAGGAGGAGGAAGATTGTTGGAAAGCTATAAATCAAGATAGTTTATTAAAGGGATGAGATAGAGGTAGGGATGACTATAAATAACCAAAATCCTCATTTGCAATCCATCCTATTGCTTTAGAATAATATTAAATTCGTAGAAAAATATTGTAATAGGAATGATAGAATATTATCTATTCATTGTAGAACAATATTGTAATAGGGATTAATAGGGCACTCCACAATAATTTTTTGTGGGCATTTGGACAGTGTATATAAATTGAATTGATATTAAAAAAGGAATAGGTTTTGATAACCATATTATTAAGCATTTTAGTTTAAAAAATATGAATATATATGTTTTGATACTCATATCAAAATAATAGATAAACACGCATTTTAATTTTTAATTTCCATAAACCTATATATATATATAAATACATTGGAAGTTTATATATATAAACTCGTAACAAATTTTGAAAAAAAAAATGTATACAACAAATAAGTTTATATGTTGAGATATATTTGAAAGATATCTAATATTTAACAAATTTGCTGGAAAAGAAAAAAAAAAAGACAATTACGTCTAAATTGTACCTTAACTAATATTAGACTATCTCCAACCGAAAAACTTATTTTCAAACTCATTTTGCAGTTATTGTCACATCAAACAGTAATTCTTCTCCAACCGATTAACTAATTCTCAAACCCAAAAGAATATTCTCGGAATATTCTCTCGCATCAACTTTTACACATTTTTAATACCACCCACATATTTAATAAGTTTACAAATTATACTTAATATTATCTTATTTTCAATTTTTAAAAAATATATAATAATTAATTATAGATTGGCAATATGTACACCTACAAAATATTGAAATAGATATTTAAAATTAATTTTCTTATTTAACTTCATAAAATATTTTAGAAGGATCATATGAATTTATTTCCATCCACTTATTAGATTGATAATTAAATTGAGTTTCCAAAACAATATCTAATTATTACATTCCATATAAATAAAACTAAATATCTAGAAATTCATATATATATTTATTATGCAGAAATCGATACCTAATGCAAATTAATAGGCTTAATACCCACTATGAATTAAAAATTAGTTACTTATAAATTTTTACAACAAAACAAAGAGAAATATCCATGGCCATTTGTAATATGGGGTCATTTTACAATACAAATGCGTTGGTGAATAGGAAAAACGCATATTTGCGTTTATGGAGACCAAAATTTTGAAAAAAAACCCATTTTGAGTTTGGGTTTGAGTCTCTGTTGGAGCAAACTTACTGCATAATTTGGATTTTGAGTATCGATTGGAATTTGGAGATGCTCTTAGAAAGCTTAAAAGAAAATAATTAGGATTTTTACTACTACATTTAATAAATAGATGACCTTGTTTATAGTAATAGATTTGTTCAATTTTTTTAGAATTTATGGAGATTTTAATATATATATAAGAAATCGAACACCAAATCTTGCATTTAAATATAA